AGCTGTTGACAATTTATGTATAATTTATTTTTAATTTTAAATCAAATATAATTTAGGACCAAAATTTTTTACTTGAAATGGAAAAGTAATGACTCGCTTCTCATCCTTAGCTACTGAACACTACGTTAAAAGCCTGCGGCTACGTTAAAAAATTATTGCATTACCAACTAATTTATTCTTGAATCGAGGCGTTCGAACATAACTGCATGTGTCTTGCCGCGATCTCTAGTGCGATCTATTTACGCATATATGCACATTTTCTGCTCATATACTGAATGTAGTTCATGTCAGGAGAATATTGTAAATGAGGATTTGTTGTATATGATAATGTTGAAATTCGGCTAAAGACTTGTAAACGCAGCAACTGAAAATTTGCCAATGAAACTTGCACGTAGTTGTGGTGTAGAACATTAAAATAAAATACTTAAAAATACTTAAAAAAACACGTTTTTCTTGTGGACTAAAAAGTAGAAAATAAATAATGGCTCGCCCCAAAAAAACGTGACAACACACGAATTTTGGAAATTTGATGGTGAACGTACAGCCCGACCCACGTTTATTTGGGGCGAGCCATAATTTATTCTCTACTTTTTAGTCCACAAGAAAAACGTGTTTTTTAAATTTTTTTTAAGTATTTTATTTTCTACTTTTTAGTCCACAAGAAAAACGATTAAGATTTGATTAAGTATGACTTGTACGATGATACGCAGCGTCAGCGCCTGCTCGTCTATAACGTGAGCGCCCGCACGTCATACTGTATATATAGTATTATAGTATATATACTTTACTCAATTAAGCTAATTTAGGTCTTTAATTGCTAGTTTTAATGATTGTATCTGAAATTTTTAGGCGAAAATAGCCTGCATGCCGAATTTCAGATCTCTAGAGCAATTAGAAGTGGGCTAATTTTCGTTGTCAATGTTAACAACAAACAAACAAACAAACAAACGCGAAGCTGAGTAAAGAAAAACGTGTTAATTAGCATGAGCTAATCCAAGCATCCGTGTTAAAATTCCAAAACTCACCACGTAAAATGAATAAAACGCTCATGTGAGGATTTTATATCGAGATTCCCAGTGATCAATCGGCTTTTCTTCGGAAAATTACAGACAACATAAATAAATACACACGAATTACCCAACAAGTTTGCACATTTGTTAAAAACATTCGTCGTTCAGGTATTGCATTCAAACTCATATTTCTGAATTTTTTGTCAATAAATTGTATGTCAAAAGTTAAATGCCTGACCAATAGCTTAAGTAACCGCAAAACTGCCAATCAAATTTACAGTCATTATCTATGCGTTAGTTTTCATTAATACATTGTTATTAATTTAACCAGGTTTCATTGGAGACGAAAGAAATTGTTTCATTGCCAATTTTCTTAAATTTTTTTTCAATATATCGAATAGTATTTTTCGTTTGCCCTGATAAGTCGAAAATCAAGGCAACGATCGACATTTTTGTTTCGTTAACGACGTTTCGAATGTATTAATCATTCATAATCAAGTTACAAAACTCATTTAGTGATGAAATTTGAATCGACATAAGTACAAGATACGGTTATAGTAGGATACTACTCAAAAATCAAAATTGTTCAAAGTAATGCCTAGCCACGAAGATACGAAGAAAAAATTACTCCAAAAAAGATATGAAGAAATATGAAGAAAAATTACTCCACGAAGATATGATGAAAAAATTACTCCAAAAGAGTCTCAAGATTCTGAAATTTGCAATAATTAGAAGGTTGATCGCAGGAGTCCCGTCCTTAAATGATGACTCAGCTATCGCGAGTCGGTTGGCGTCGGGGCATCTCATGACGACGCTGGTGCACTCCTCCAGCACCGTACGGGTGATGGTCTCGTTGTGGGCTTGCATCAGGTGGTTCCTTGGTCCACCAGACTGAAGGTGGCACGTGAGACGTCGGCTTAATGTCGTAGCTGTGAGCCCGATGTAGTCCATGTTGGGGAAAAGTCTACAGCCTTCTCTAATGCAGGAAAGAATGAATTCATTACAGTAATTGTTTGATAAATGAAACTATTCTTAGAAATCTGAAATCAAATATAAGGTATAAGTGACGGATATTATAAGCATGCCTATAAAAAGCTTGCGAAAGGAGGTTGCTGTTGTTTTATATTCTTGAATTGCTCCTATCCAATTTTTTCATTGAATTTTCGACGTTGACATCAGAATTCCTGTTAAAAATATTTTGACCAGTGAACATAAAATTAGGAAAGAAAAACTATGATACTTTTATTTGTAGGAGGTGGACAATTGTGAGCTCCAGCAACAGAGATGGATTTTAAATTGCTAAGAGAAAATCTTTGACTTGATGGTTGGGGAAACGCCAACGAATATTATTTCCAAATACGCTGTAGAGGAAGCCTTCGTAAATTCGGAGGAAGCCTTCGGTCGCACAGTTATGAATTATCAATTATGGAAAGATATGCAACAAGGCATTTTTTTAAGATGACTCAAACCATAAATATATATATTGTTTTCAAATTCTCACATGCGACCAAACTGTCCCTGCTGAGCTCAAAGGCATCTTTATTCGTGTCAGCAATTCTATTATAATGACAACTCACTCACTTATGAAAAAAACATAGCCAACGTATCAGGTGCCCATTTTTTACACAAAAGCACTGCCATTAGAGTCATAATATATAAAATGTTCCATACTTATTTCGTTCTGAGGGTTTATTATACTGAATCCAGCCGGAAACTCTTGAGTTGAACGCTGCGGATGAAATAGTAATTTAGTTAGGGATGACATCGTTTTCTTGAAACGTAAATGGATGTTTACATGTTCAGTCGTTCTGGTTTGGGTTCATTATCTCACATTAGCGTAATATGTACAAATGTTTGAACTGTATATATTTTTAACATAATCCTATGTAGCCAAGAAGTATGGAAAGATATCGCACTAATTAAAGAACCGCGATAGGTTATAGTTCATGTAAATTCCATAATTAAGTGAAAATGTTAGCAGCCGTGCCTCAGAATATGAGGATATACTGTGAAAAATAGACTAAATATTGAATTTATAATGAACGAATTCTAATATGACTCTACTTGCGTGAACATTTCTTAGCGCCCAGTTTCTGAAAATTGAACTCGCACCAACACCAAAGTATCACAAATCACGGCCAAAAATTCATCGTAGAGCTGATATTAACAAAACGAATTTCTCGTAGGGAATAGTTTTATAATCAAAATCATTAATAAACAAGCTGGACGACTGTAGCAGGTTGAGAGCTGTTATGCATGCTTCAGAGCTGTTCACTGGATCGACACTTCTTCTTTAAACTAGCCTGCGCAACTATCTCAATCATAATTCTGGAATCGATTCCTCAATTGCGTCATTTATTTATCAATGCATTCCATTAATCCCACATTTTTCAAGAGGAATGACTTAACAAATATCTGAACCGTCGCTGAAACATGTGCCTCAGAAAGTTATATCGGTTTTGTGAGTCGTCATTATATTCGCATTTCATCAAAATTTCCATGGACTGATTTCCTCTCCGTTTCTTAGCGTAAACAATAATATTATTCTGACAACAAAACTGCTTCTGAATTGCCTCTCAAGTTTACCTATATATGCACGATATCCGCCGGTAATACATTACATATGATGTCTAATTTCAAGATAAATTTGTCTTTTTAGCATATATTTTAAGGTTTCAGTTGGCCACTGAAATGAATGCCCAGGAACTGCACAAATATGCCACTGATAACTTACACCTGGTTATGGCATCGGGCCACAAGCTATTACAAGCTCTCACGTTAACTTCTCACAGCTCACCGTGTAAAATGAATAAAACACCCATTTGAATGTTTTATCTTAAGAACCCTGATGATCAATCAGCGTTTGTTGTCGAAATTACAACATTCTTTCGCATTTGATTTTCTACTATGAGTTTCGTTCACGTTGAGTCCAAACGACGATGTTATATGTTTTGATTACAGTTGAAAATTGCCACATAACCCTAAACTACCGGAGCCCTGATTCTTTTAATTAAAAAATTTACCGTTGTCATTATCGGTCCAATTTCGAAATTGGCAAATTAAAAAAGTCATTGTTTTTATGTTTTTTCTTGCATAGCTCTTCCCAATAATTGTGTATGATTGTGGTTCAGACCTCGGTCAATTTACAACCGCAAGTCCGGCTGTAAAATTGTGCGAGAAACGAGAAACAGTTATCGGGGCGCTGGTTCAAACGAATTTCGAAGGCAAGTCACACGACGCTCCGAGTATAAACGCGTATATTGAACGCGTTTATACTCGGAGCGTCAACGATTTAAAAGCTCTTCTTTTAATTACGATTCAAATATATTCGGTAAATTTCAGTTTAAGAAACTCGTGATTGACTGGTCTAGAGCCCATTCTTCATTTAAAGGTGAAACATGATGAGGCCGATAAATATTTTGCTCAGCAGGTGCTGAATTTAATTTCTCATTAAAGTTAATGCAAACCAATAGTTACGCCTCAAATAAGTTCTCAAAAATTTTCCGTCAAAATTGATATAAAATGCATTGCTGAAATTGTCTCCAGAACTTCAGTTTATAAATATATGTGCCCCATAAATGAATTCGGGATTAATATAAATCGTAGACTGGAGCAACGTGAGTTCAAAGATGCCAAGGCTACGAATTTTTGCCGACTGTAATGACCTTTTGTTCAGGTAATACTAATGATATATTATCAGTATTGAATACAATAAAAATACGTGAATAGATAAAGTCAACCCTAACAATTTTGCAGCTTGGATAGATGAACCACCACGTGCTTGTGAACCTCTACTCGTTTGCTGCAGTTCTCGGGTACTGAGGACCAAAACACACAATTGTCTAATTTATTTTTAAATCAAGCTGATATGGTCAAGTGTTCTAGAGGATATCCCGATGAGTTCTAAATAATATTTATATCGAGTATATAATTTCCATAGGTTCTTTAAAAGATACCCGTTAGGTATGAACTGGCCTGATTAAAAAATTGTAAAAAATGAAGAAAACTGCCTGGAAAATTGTTGATTAAGCGTAAAACATAAGTTCTTCAACTATATCTGAGACGCAAAATCTCGCACTGACAGTTCATGGGCCAGACCAGCTCGATGCCCTGCACGAAATGGTTCGCTTCCGAAATGCACTGCCCGGAAAGGGTCTTGTCTAAAAATGATTCCCTCAAGTTTGCACGGTATACTGGCAGATGAAGTTGTAGTCTGTGCTGCAAGGACAGTCCGCGAGCTCGTAGCTTGAGCCACGAAGCCTGGCACACGACTCGTTGTCGCCGTTGATTTCTATGGCGTCCCTATAATTGACGCGGTCACCCCAGTACCACTTGTCATTCGTCTTGGTCAGGTCCACGTACCAGTTTTCTACGTGAGCCTTGTCTGTAAATAAGACATTATTCATCTTCATTCGAACAGAAATATTTTCAAACTTCTTGCAGAAAATGGTTAACTTCTAAAAAACAATTCCGGTTGGAAGACAATTTTCATTTGGATTTGAATTATACATGATTTAGTTTGGCCGGCTACAATACCCAACATTTCCTGTAATTCGGTGCAGGCAACCCTCCTAATTTCTTCATCTCTAAGTTTGAATATTAACCTCCTAATTTCTTCGCCTGTAATTTTGAATATTAAAGCTCGATCCAGCTTCCAGCACCGTTCATAGCCAGCCCACAAGCCAGATATTCTTCACCACTGCCAAGGACGCCACATTTTCACTATTGATCGTCCGCTTTATCTGCCCTATGGATTGAGACTTCGAGCGTGTGTCTCGTCTGTGATGGCAGCCTTGAGGTGCGGGACGATCTGAAGGCGATAACAACAGCTCGTCTTCTAAAGGGTGGATAGCTAGAGGTCAGCATAGCCCAGGTCCACAGTGCGATTCATATACCTTCCCGAGCGTAACGCAGCCGAGCATCTTCACGGCTTTTGACACAAAGCGCCCACCACAACAGCGCCGTTCAGTCACAGGCCGGAGCGCATACAGGCCGGAGCACAACTGGCCGGGGCGCAACAGGCCCTACCGCAAAAGCTACTCCTAACGTAACCTAACCAAACCTAACCTAACCTGCGCCGCCTGTTGCGGTAGGGCCTGTTGCGCTGCGACGCTGTGGAGCAGTGGCTGTGTTGTGCAAAGCGGATTTATTGTTAGTCGGAGTTACCAACAGCTCATTGGTCTGAGGCTATGTGCAGATATTGCATGCTGATGGTTGGCGTTTGACCCAGGGCCTGTTTACGAGTCAATTTTGTTACCCACGGCTGCGCTCCCCTTCTAACGGAGGACGGGTCTCGGCGAGACCTCAGGAGAGGACCGGATGCTGCAGGTTGGCTGTCCCTACACTGAAGCTCAGGGGTATGAGGCAACTTGAAGCTCCGGCCAGTTTCCATTATGAACAACTGTCTCAGTTTCACTGCTACTCTCACTCAAAAATCAAACCTTCCTTGTCTTCCAGTTGAATTCATTAGTTAACCATTTTATTATAGCCCCTTTATTTTAAAATTACCATACATTTTTTAAGAGCACAGCTGCCAGGTTCGTAAATTTGAACGTTTGACGATATTCTGGACCCTAATATTTAGCTTATGCTAATTTCCTATCACATAAATTTGTAGCGGTTCATTCAAATCAGTTGGCCTTTATTTGATAGGATAGACCGCAAGGAACTTAGTGCATCAGTTTCTCTGTGCTACCTGGCTGGCTTGCACTGGTCAGGCGAAGCTCCTGATCCCGATTCAGAGGATTTCCACCGGGCAGCAGCTCGGGCCACTTCACTTTTTTCAAGTTTTATTGTGTTCACCTAACACAATCCCAATTTAATGAATTCAGTATCTTTGAAATATTTTCGTTACGTTGTTACTTATGTGAAGCTTAAACTTTCCACCCACTGAAAAGGGAGGTCGCGCTAAAGTTTTGGTACACTTTTGTTATAAAAAATAATAGTTATATTTTTCTTCGATCAGCATTTGCGATTTTTTCAATAAATTGCCCAAAAATTTATAAAATATTCAGCCTATTGCAGACATATTGTGGAAATGCCTACTTCGGCCTCGAGAGTTCCTGTCACACAATATAATTAATTCTCTCGTCAAGATACCTTATTTTTATGACTCCCTAATTTATACTATGCACATGGAACTAATTTCCCACATTTTGGTCTTGGTGAATATCGATGAAAGAATGCCACAGATGTCTATAGGGGAGTGGACAATATGAACAAATGTGATAGAGGGAGAATATGAAAACGAATGCGATAAATACGCTTGCCGCTCTACACTCACTTTTCTTTATGTAGTCCACCAAGCTGTTCAGTTCTCCACCAGAAGACGGGAAGGCCAGTGAGCTCGTTGCAGGACACTTGGTTTTGGCCGTGGCTTGGTCGGCCGTCTCCGATGAGAAGAAGTAGCAAATCCCTCCCAGCCTGACGAAGTTGTCTGCGCACTCTGTAAAATGAATAAAATATTATAAAAGAAAATGAAATTTACGTAATGATATATATGAAATAAATAGCACAAACTAAATACTCGTTTATTTTGATTTTTTACACTGTTCTCCAGCCCCACTTTTCAGCATATGAAAATGCCTCGAGAGCATCGTCACCTTTCTTGACGTAGGTGGTGGCCGTATTTCGGCTAGTGAGCCTGGTTTGTACGCCGAAATGAAGACTGAAATAACACGTGACGTTGGTCGAAACTTCTTCTGAGGCTACGGCTTGGCAGGCTGGGTTCACGTAGCAATCAATGATGCATTTGCCTGCAAAATTCAGTCAAATTCTTCTGTACATAAAATATCAATAAAAAATGTTACAATGATTATGACTAGAACGTTGTAAAAAGATTTTCTTAAGAGAACTAGCAAATGGTCAATCTCTATTCCCTTTTGATACTCACATGGCTTCGTGACTACAGTTTTCGAAGTGACATCTGTATCCATCATCATGGAATTGTCGTGTATTTCAAGTTTCCTTTCCACAGCGCAGACGCTGTAGACCAGCACCAGCAAGTACGCGAGTCTCATTGCGGTGGGGCGGCGCACCCACGAAAAGGTGCAGGGGTTGACTTTAAATGAAATATCTAGTGATATTTCATAGTTATACGAGACTTGGGAGTGTGAAGCAATTAATTTAAAAGTTGTGAAATGTCCTGAAATGGAATGCACAGTGGAATTTTAGATTCATGCACGAGGGTTCTATGGCAAAAAGTTCTAAGTCTTTCTTTCAATTTCTCAAGGACTTCTCGAAGCTAAGCTGTTGACTGCTTAGTGTTATTTTACGATTATTGATTGGTTTTGCAAGGATAAACTAGGGAGTTCTTGAATGTAGGGAGTTTGTAGGCTACAGCTGACTTCCCGCCCTATTAAAATCAAATTATTTAATCATTGCCACAGATTATTATAAAGACTTAATTGTTCTCCTTCTTGTTCTCATAATTGAACACATCGATGAATTCCCGGATAACAACATCATTAAATTTATTTATTTAAATTATCCACAAAATTAACCAGCTCTTCCATACATTTTGTTCCTGCTAAACTAACATTTCTATCAATATTCAGCAAGAGAAAGAAACTAATTTGATTAGGATAAAAATTGATCTCAGTTCGATGAATCGATTATCATTCGTTTACTTGTCGATTAATCTAATCTGAAATTAATATCTCGAAATTAATTTTAGTTTTTATTTTTGAAAACATTCTGAATAGTTTTCCGCATTTTGTAAAAAAGGTTTTTAGTCGAGGCAATTAAGCATTTTTAGCTCAAAATAGTTGTAGTCAGTCCGAGCTAGCGAATATTTTTGCAATTTAATTAATTGTAAGTCAAAGCAAATGAATATTTTTACCAGTCTGAAGATAATTATTCGAAGCAAGTGATTTATTTTCCAATTCAAATAATTATCGGTTGAAGCGACCGGACATTTTTTCAATTAAAATAATTATCAATCGAAACAAGGGAACACAATCAACACCGTTGAGTGCACCTAAGCCGAGGCTGCGATGCATTCCAATGCTTTAAGTCATTTTTCGTACAAAATCAATAATCGCAAAATATAAACTTACCCTAACGTTGAAAAATTTTCTCTTTACATTTACCTAGGTTTATTAAAATTTACGATTTGGTTAATAATTAGGATTTATAACGAAGCTGGAGCTCGAAAAAATCACACTACCCTGCTCGACTGACGCTAGTGCAGTGAAAACCTTATTCTTTTCTCGCCGTCAACGAACAAGTATCGGTGTAACTACCTACCAAATTATCGCTGCATACTTTATTGAACAATCAATACTTTGGTCCAGTATTTTCCAGTAGCATTAAACCATGTCTTGACTACCGCCTGACTAGTGAAAACCGTTGACGTTTTGAAGTAGTGTAGTGGAGCGCGCGTGCAATAAAAATAATAAATTCATGAGGCCAGAGATTAACTTGGAGCGCCTGCTTAATCGGTGAATGAATATTTTATTATTGATACAGTGAGTGAAGAGTTTTGAACGACGTCGAAGGTTCGTTGGTTGAGATGGTGACGCGAAAAGTATACACGCTGTATATTACATAAACACACTGTGTGATATGTAAAAAAGAATAGAATGAACATTGTTTTTTATGGCACACATGCGTACGAGTATTGATCCACGTGCACATAAGCTGTACATGTACACACGCCTATATATGTGTACAATTAACGACCAGGGAATGCATCACAATTTCCAAGGAGTCGGACAATTCTTTAGAAGACGTTGTTAGATAAAAAGGCAGGTTTATCAAGTAAAAATAAATATTCTCTGGTCATTAATTAAAAACATAAATAAACAAGAAAATTCTACCATCAAATACTAATACACCTATATGTATTATATGTAATATGCGAACACAAGCTTGAAATCTATTTTTCTGAGCAAATGATGCATATATGTACATCAATAATTATCCTGAATTTAAAAAATAACCTTAAATTATAAATAAAATTTTGGCTCATGTACACATTAACTTTTGATAAAATGCACATTGAATTTTAGTCTTATCATTGAGTAAATCGGAACTATAAGCATTCGTCGAGTTGAAGATTACAAACGGGATCGTCTATATTGAAATATTTCTATTCTGTGAAAACCAAGCAATTCAAGAAACAACTCATACTTTCGTTTGGCGTGTTGTGTTCTAATCTTAAAAGTTGTCAAACTTTAAACATTCCAGCTTAATCAGCAGCTATGAACAAAAGTTCAAGATTAAAAACTTATTTTATTCGAGAATATGCTACAGTTTTATGCCTCGCGTGCAGGACGCATTTAAAACTTCGTTAGATTGGAACATGCAGCGTGCCGTCATCGACCAGGAACACAATTTCTTTACCCCTTCGCCAGCCTCGGGACATAAAACAATGAATTTTATTTTCGAAGTACATTTTATGAAACCATTGAGTTTATGATATCGACGTAAATCTACTAAAACAGCGTGCAAAAAAATGTATTTCGTGGTTATATTCTATCTGTACAGGGCAATTATGAACCGAAACAACTTGACCCAACTGCCACAACTTCATTAGTAGTAAAATCTCGCTAAATTCAGAAATAGTGATTTTTCATTATCATTTAAAAGTTGAAAAATTCTGAGCTTTAATTTGTTCCACTTCACGCATCATAATAACTCTACCAAAAAATGGAAGCTAAGCAAATGCCATGAAATTTCTTGATCTCTTCGCCAGAAATATTTATTTACACACAAATATTTATTTGATTTTCGAAGTTTGAACGATTACGAGAATATCTCTACTACTACTCTGCCCAGTTATATGCCCTGAGAATTTAAATTTTGAGAGAAATGATTCCCAAATCCAAGTTAAACAATTAAAATATAAAAACATCAAAAGAAGATGAAGGGTAATATACATTAATTGATATATATATATATATATTTATTTATAAACGAGTGGATTGTCGGCAAGTCAGAATTATTCTCAATGCTATTGTATTCGACATACTAGTGTGTTCTCAATACTAGTATATTCTCAATACTATTAAATTATCAATACTAGTGAATTCTCAATACTATTATATTCTCAATGCTAGTCATTCTCAATACTAGTACATATATTATCAATACTATTATATTTTCAACACTAGTATATTCTCAATGCCATTATATTATCAATACTTAATATCCTCATGTCGTAGCCAGGTACCGGGTGTACAACACACAACTGATCGGTGACCTTGCAGAAAGATTTAAGCCGTTGCATTCACGGCTGATGTGTTCGAAATTAGTAATTCACGGCAGGGCTTCCGTAAAAATCACAGATCAAGTTGACTACCTTGTGCATTTTTTACAGCTAATTTAGTGAACCTAATTATATAGGAAGTTAGGTGAAAAATTAATCTTTTTAGCTGAATACACAATGACCACATTTTCACAGCTCGAACAAGCGAATCACCGCTCCAATTACGAAGAATTTATCAAAACTGCCCACCGATTATTGTAACGCACCTTCTGTTCCGAGGCTGCTGCACATGTGTAAAAATATTTATCTTCTTGAGCGTGGTCATCAATTACGCTCATTTGTACCTGGTATTACAAACACATATGTTATTCTAATGGCGGGTATTCTAATTACATGCTGTTAGAATGATGCATGCATGGTCATTTAATTTTTTTAGTGTGACTAGCAAAAAATGATCAGAATTTAGCTCAGAGTGTCAGCTAAGTCTTTTTAAATTAGTTATCCAGTCAATAACTATGGTTATTTAATTCGCATTTGGACCGAACTGTAAGGATTTATACACTTTTCAACGGCACAAATGCTTTATGAATTTCATTTGCGTCAGTTCAGTCGTTGTTTGATTTAGGTTTACAGTTAATTATTGTAGCATTCAACTCTTATGTTGATCAAACTCTAGATATTTCTTCAATTTAAAATGGTACCAATTTATGTTATGTTCGTAGGTGCCATTTCCGAATCGACTTTTCCGTCAATAAATTTCATGATTCAACAGTGAATATTAACCAACTTGAGAAAATCTTTCACGTGTTAAACGCGCAGTGGCTGTAGGAATTTCATACGTGGCAATTCAGCGATTTTAAAATTGGACTTGCTGGTTATAACTCTAAATAATAATTCAACGTAAAATATCACCAATCCCGGACAATACATCATTTTCTCCATTTTGTAAAGGCTGTAGTAATTCATTTGTGCAAGTTTAACGTTCCTAAATTGGGTCAACCGGTAATGCCTTCGTGATTCAACGCCTAATATGTCCTAACCAACGGAATTCACTCACTGCCAACTTCACTTCCCAACTGCGCTCTGGAAGTATGAAATTCAGTTTATTCGTTTCTGATTCAGGTTTCCAGCCGATAACTGTCGTACTTCAACTCGTATTGCCGCCAAACTGGAGGAATTCATCCATTTTTCAAAAGGAAAAATGTTGTGTGAATTTCATTCAGTTCAGTCGTTTCCAGATTAATTTTTCAGCAAGTAATGATGAAACTTGAGTGGCATTAGCACCAAACTCGTGTTATAGATGAGATATAACATGCCGCACTATAGCATGCCAAACTCGAGATATAACAGGTCGCTCGTCAGCATGTTAAACTCAAGTTATAACATGCCGCACTTCATCTATAATTCCATCGTGAAAAATTTAAAACACAAGGTGCAACTTTAAAATGATGATGGTGCAACAACGCCCTCACCGGAAGCAATTCGACTCAAAGCGTGTGCTAAGGTCACGCTTATAATGGAGATGCCATTCAAAGTCGATTTCCCAAGTGAATCCTAAGCATTCTTAACATGACGCCTGGAACGAGTTGCTCTCTGATCTGAAAAGAAAATTGCATGATTGTCAAAGAAGCCGGGAAAAGCATAGAATACTTTCAACATTACGGCTTACGGGTGCGCTTTGGCTTATGTCTATAGCCGCTGCTGTCAAGATTCCTGCCCGGCTGTGGTCAATAACACGAGTTCGTGCCGGTTAATCAAGACTCAAATGTGATAGATGACTGGCGTATTTTAGCACAGCAGATTCAAATTTAATTCGCTAATTTGGAATACATAATATTATTCGAAGAGGAATAATTCATTTCTGACAGAACCTAATTTCCTGGCTTATAATTTGGCATAGTTATAATTATAATATATATAGTTA